AGCAAGCAGAGAAAATGCTAAAATATCCTCAGAAGCCATGTCAGTATTTGGTCTGAAAAGCTGTTTGGATCTCTCTCTGGTCAGAATGACCCTGAGAAATGTTAGAAAGTCTCTTTTCCCAGCCTGGCACTTGAAGAAGGAGTCAGGGCTCTTCATTTCTCGGTCTCAAGGTTGTTTATTGTTCCTTATCTATAAAATTCTTTCTCCTGTCCTGCTGAGGTCCATCCAGCAGGACAGTTCCAGGCACTCTGCCTGCCCCCAGGGTGGTGTTATGTCTTTATACTAAAAACTACGTGTACAATGTTTACAATTACTTTCCAATACCTATCACCTATGTTAGGCAGTGACCTTCTACTCTAAACCAATCTAAAAGTGCCAACATCACAGCAGAAGACGGAGGCCAAGAAGAAGAAGGAGAAAGGCAGGACGTGCCCAGATCCCTCCATCTTGTCCCCTGAACCCCATTCTAGAAACCCCAAAACCTACTTTTCCACATTGTGATAAATTCACTATTGTTCTACTTAATTTGTTGTGACCTGGCAGGGGTCTTGACTAGGGATGTTCTGGGTTCGTACAGAAAGCAGTCTTTACTGGTACATTTAGGAACATGACAAGAAATTCTGTGCTGCATGTGGCAGTGCAGAGCTCCCAGCACAGGGCAGAGCTCCCAGCACAGTGTTCACAGCACATTTCAGAGCTCCCAGCACACACTGCTCAGCAACAGGCAGGGCTGGAGGCTTTTATCTCCTCAGGAGTCCCAGGCAGCTGACAAACAGAGCCCTCACACACTGCCTGAGGCTGTGGGAGGGTCTTGACCTGCTCCACTTCTTGTAGTAAAGGCCATATCACCAAGAAGCATCCTTGAATGGCCACTTTGCTTCCCACCCTGCCTCGCTGAGGCCTCCAGTGCTTTGTCCTATTCCTGCTGCCCAGGATGTCCAGAAAGATCACCCCTTGTGCCACAGCAGTGGCCATGGCCATCTGAGACTATCTGAGCCAGAGTTCACCCACCCTGCACAGGACAGAAAGGGATCTAACTCAGTGCTTCACCTACCCAGCAGAAAAACCTGCTGTAGAGCACCCAGGGCCAAAATCTGAGGAGTTCTGCTTAATTCTGTGACCATTGCATGCTGTCAAAGGCTAAGAAGCTCACTCTTCATCCCTGCGCAGCTGCCATCAGGGGCCTTTCTGCAGCAGCAGCAGTGGAGAGAACAGGGAGAGAGCAGGGAGAGAACAGGGGGAGAGCAGGGAGAGAACAGGGGGAGAGCAGGGAGAGAGCACAGAACAGGGAGAGAAAAGGGAGAGAACAGGGAGAGAACAGGGAGAGAGCAGGGAGAGAAAAGGGAGAGAGAAGGGGAAGAGCAGGAGAGAGCAGAGAGAGAGTAGGGAGAGAACAGGGAGAGAAAAGGGACAGAACAGGCCACCTGTCCCAGCAGGTCAGAGGGGCGCCTTTGTCCTCTCCACTGTCAGCTTCTGGGGTGGGCTCTTGCCTGCCCATTTAAATCTTCTGGACTTGACAGATGAATCCTCCCACAGTGACCTTTTCCTCTGGCTTGTTCTGTGAGTTACCTTCCAGCTCCTCCTACTCAGCTCCTAGCACATTGTCCCCACACTGAAATCAGACCCTTCCCCACTGCATTCCAGAACCACACCAACTCTTCATTCTTGCACAGTTCTCCCAAGTCTTCAGCTTGGTTCCTCCTACAAATCTCTTTTTAATGTCTTGCTTTGTCATTCCTCTTACTCTGGCCTACAAAGACACTTTTTTTGCCAGTTCTCTTGAAAAACCTTGACAAAATTATTTTTCCATTCAGATTTCCTGCTTGCCGTTCCCAGGTGCTTCCATTAGAATAGACAACAGCTGAATGACTAACAGAATTGCTGCTCCAAGAGAAATAGTATATTTGATAGAGTACAGTTATGATAGAGTACAGTTCAAGGTGGATTTGCAGTGCACATTTTTCATGACAACTTCAGAAAATTGAACAGAATATAGAATTTGTTGAGACATCAAACCTAGAGATGTAGGCAGGTACCCCTGAGTCATAAAAACTACAGTGTTTAGTGGCACAATAGACCCAAGATGTCTCAAGGTGACTGTTCAGCTGAAAATACTGGCCTGTGACCAAGGCTCAGCTATTAAAATTCATTGTTAGGACTCGTTACTGCCAACAAGTCTCTTCTGCCACTTAGCAGAGAAGTCTGAACACGAGTGTGAGTATTAATGAATTCCATGTGGCAATGAAGTTGTTTCAGTCTGAGGCTGTTGGAGTTCTCTTTAGTCCTTACCCAAGATACACCATCTGCCACTGTGAGAGTCTGTCCGAATTTTCCCTCATCTGCCTCACAATTGTCATTGGGAGACCACTGAAGAGAAGACCTGAAGAGAAGACCTGTCTAGAATCTCTGGCTCTGAAGGAGAAAAGTCACACGCCACGGGCCCTGAGACCTGAAAGCTCAGTGTTAAGCTATTGTTTTCACAAGTCAGTTTGCTGTATGTTAAGAAAGGGGCACCATGCCCCGTTTGCAACAATAGCAGCTCTGGAAGCTGTCCCATCTCTCGGCCTGGCTGGACTTCTCCTGAGTTTCAGGTGATCTCCCACAGAAGACCCTCACCTGTTTTACAACCACCATGACAGACAGACTGAGATGTAAGGAGCCTCTCCATCAAGGACTGAGACAAAACTCCTAAAATGCCCCTCTGCTCCTTCCAAGGAGTGGGACTGAAACCCCCAGCCCAGGGCAGGTGTGTGGGGGAGACAAGCTGACAAAGCGAGATGTTTGCTTGCAGGTTGTGACCACTGGAGCTAGAAAACAATGGTTCTTGCCTGCTGCCTAGCTTGGACTCTGTGTATCCCCCTTTCTATCCTTTGTTTCAGTTGCGAAATTTATTCTCCCTTCCCCCAACAAAAAAAGTCTAATTGGGGTGCAAATGAACTGTGCCTTTGAGATCTCCCCCGCATAGCAGGCGAACCCTCGATGGACCGGACCAAAGGACTTCGTCTCTGCGTTGGTAGCTATATACCCTCCCTCTCTCTCCCCCTCTCTCTTTCTCTTTTTCTTTCCCTTAATCTCTCTATCGCATTTTTGCTGGGGTTATTTCAATAAAACTGCATTTGTTTTGATTATCACTGCAAACCCCCTTGTACCGTGTTGGTTTTTGCACCCTGAGATCCCTCCTACGAACCATCAAGTCATCTGTTCACTAAGACGGATCCTGACAGCCACTAACCACTATTTAAATGTTTTAGCATCATGCTTTCTGCTTTTGTGGAAAGGGCTTTCTTTGTCAGACATCCTTGAAAGATAACCATTGTAAGCTCATATGCTGCCTACAAAGAGGAAAACATATTTACATATTTATGTTACAGAAATACCAGGTCAGTTCAAAAGCTATTGTAAACTCAGAACATTTACACATGCACAATAAATATTATCCACATGTAGATGTTTGTTATAGGTGTGCATATACATGTGTGTACATATAAAAGGATCAACCTAATATAAAATCTAAGCCTGCTCTATTATGGTCTGAACCGATCTGAAGTCTGGGCTGGTAGTAAAGATCACTTTACTTACTTTTTATTCTTCTTTTGAATTTTTGGGAAGTTCCTCAAGCGTACACAGAGCTATGTGAGAACCAGAACACTGCTCATTTATGGACCACCATAGTTTTTTGGGATGGGGGTTGTGTTTCTTGCTCAGTTATTTTTCCTCAGTGACAGTGCCAAAGCCCATGAGGAGATCCTTAGTGCCATGGCAATACAAATCTCAGTGGTATTTCTGAATGAACTTGTACACTTAGGAATGTTTGGCTATTTCTCAAACAATTTCTGCTTCCACTAAGTTCTATCTGGGGAGGTACAAGACAAGAGTGGCCCTGCTCCTTACCTCAGCAGGAGCTGTGATTGTCCTTTGCGCAAGGTGGCAGCAAAAGAAAGCTCTTCCATCTCTGTCCTCTCTCCCTGCACTCCTCCTGCTAAGGAGAGCAACTCCTTCAACTTTATTAATTGTGTTTTAAAAACCAACTGTTGCTAGTGGGTAATATATGTCTGAACAATACAGGGAGTTACTGATGCCTTTTACTTTGGGAAAACATCACATTTCAATCTCCATTTCTTTACCAATATTCCCCTGGGGAAAAGCTAGAAAATTGAATGCAAAGAAAGGAAAACTATGAGACAAATCCCCCTTAAATCACTGATTTTCCCTTTCTGATTTTATTTTTACAACAGGGTATTTTTCCAATGAAAACACAAATTACTTTAGGAGAAAGGATAGAGTCCAAGAAAAATAAAATAAAATAAAATAAAATAAAATAAAATAAAATAAAATAAAATGTTAAACTCTATGCTTAATTAAGGCATTGTCACATGTCAAATTGTGACAAACTGTGATGGAAGTACCTGTGGAACACCAAGTTTCAGCATAATAATTTGGTTTGTCAGTAGGAATAAATAGTCTGCAGAATCTGACTACTGAAGTCCCAGTTAGCAGTTATCTAGATGAAATAAAAGTGCGGAGTCCACCCTGCTAGTTCTCCTGACCCTAATTAACATTTGCTGTTTGGATATTTTTGGAAGGAGTTTTTATTTGCTTGTTGTTTTAAGGAAAATATTTATTTTGTTGAATGGAAGGTTCTACTGCAAATATTAGAGTTGATGAAGCTACTTTAAGGTTCATTAAGCCTCAAAATACTCCTAACACATATTCCCCATATGGAAGAAAACCTTGGGTGAATATTTAATAACCTTCACAGATTTGACTCTGTTAAAGTCAATAGAAGTAATAAGAATAGCAGCAAGACTGTGCTTATTTTGAAAAACCAAAGATTACTCACCTTGAAAGTACAAATATAGTAAATATGTTTTTTATTCTATAGGCATGGTAAAAGAATAGCCAGTCAGCTTTAGATATGAATATTCTCTACAACCTTAGAGCTTGTTTTGATGATGATAACCTTATTCCAAAACCATTGTGTTTAACAAAAATTACTTCCAGAACTTGAAGAATATTTTATTATGGAATACAAAAATACTATCTATGTAAAAACAATAAGTTAGTTTATTTACAATACTTTACACTATCCTGCTCTGGGGCTTCCTTTGCACTGGACTTCTTGTCATTATTTTACACACCTTTATAATTTTAACTATAATTTTGCACAAAGCATTTCCAAAAGCATGTCATCCATGTTCACTGCTCCAATGATGGGCCTGAAGAATAATTCAGCAACCACATTAGCATTAATAGATCTCAACAAGGAGAGAACAACATTGAGCTTGGCAAATCTGGCTTCATCACCTCTGTGAATGAGTCTGACGTGTTCATTTAGAGCTTGTTGTGCTTCCCTCTGCAATCCTTCAATGTACTGTGTACACTGCAGTCCAGGTAGATCTGAAAAGAAAAATAAATTATTTTGTTTATATATTTTTGTTTATAAAACAACATTATTCTCACAGAACAACTCCTAACAGCTCACAGACTGTAATTATCACTTAAGGAAAGAAGAAACTTAAATTGCTAGAGCTTCTTGTATGCAAAGCCAACATGCCAAATTTTATTGGGAAGGTCAAATTCTTATCATAGTGATGTTCTGGATATTTAATACTCTTTTTCACAAACGTAAAACATGTTTTTTGTCAACATTCACTTAGCTGCTAAACAAATTAGTTGATAAAAACTTTGATTGAAGAATGGTCTCCAAAACACTATTACAGAGGCGAAGACAACAAAAATAACTTTTTCAATTTTTCACTTCTACAAAAATGTGCTGTTTACACTTAAGGCTTCTTTTGACTGCTGTTTCTACTCCAGTTTATCAGAGGCAAGTACTGGCTCCAGCATGAGACACGAAATTTTCCAATGAACCACAGTAAGGATACTGAAAGATGGAAGGTGCAGAATTAAGGCTATATGGGACCATAGAATCATTTTGGGTGGAAAAACCTCCAAGATCACTGAGTCCAACCATTAACCTAGCATTGCCAGGTCCACCACTAAACCATGCTCCTGAGCAACATATCTACACATTTTTGAAAACTTTCAGGGATGGTGATTCAACCACTTCCCTGGACAGCCTGTTCCAGTGCTTGACCACCCTTTCAGAGAAGAAATTTTTCCTTCCAGAACAATGCCTCTGTCTTTTTGCATTAGACCAGCTTCCAGATTTGACCTGTGTAACATAAGCTTCACCTTAACTATTGTAACTTTTCTCTCTTATCTGTATAGAAAGCAAAGATACAGAAGCAGGGTGATAAATGCAAAGTACCACTGCAGGAACCTAACCACCAATAACTCCCAGTTTGGCAGCGGGAGGGCCAGCAGAGCCCTGTCCCATTTCACAGGATACTGCGGTGCTTGGGAAGTGCCACATCCAGCCTGCCCTATCCTGACTGCCTTTCAGGTCAGTCACCGACGCGATAGTAAGTGACTTGGCAGAACTGCATCTATGGGATTCTCCACAAAGAGAAATGGGAGGGGAAAAAAAATACCACCAAAAAAACCCTATAAACCTCCACGATCATAAGTGCTATACCCAATGCCACACAGCACTTTGTGGCTGGAAGCCCTGAGCTTTCCCTGCCCTGCGGGGCGCGCCGCTCCCCTCGGGCCGGGCAGGAGAGATCCCGCAGCTCCAGGGAAACGAGCAAGGAGCCTCTGCTGTGTCCCAGCCTTCTCTAACCGACTGCCAGGCGCCTGGAATCCGCTTTGTTCGTGGAAAACATCTCTGGAAAGCGCCAGCCCTCCGAACCCCAGACCGGGCTGCCGCCGCACCCCCTCCCTGCCTGCGGCCGGGGTCTTGAGGAAGGAGCAGAAGGTGAAACCTTGCTCCGCGTCCCTCTCCCCAGCACCTTTCCCCCCCCGAGGAAAGCCCCGGCCCTGCCCAGCTTCCCGGGGGATGCAGGCGGGCAGAGAGACCCCCCTGCCCCGCCCGGCCACTCACCCGGGTTGAAGAGCACCGTCCCCTTGAGGTAAGCGTACTCTTTGGTGCTGATGTCCAGGCTCCAGCACTTGGCCAGGAAGCCCTTGATGGCCTGGATCTCTCCGGCCGAGGGCGGGTGCGGGCCGTGGTGCGGCCGGCCCGGTGCTGGTGCCGGTGCCGGCGGGCGCTCGCCGTGCTGCCGGGCGGTGAGGATGCGCTGCAGCATGCTGGGCTCCGCGCTCTCCACCGTCTCCAGGTGCACCCGCTCCTGCGCCAGCCCCAGCAGCAGCAGGGGCGCCCAGCAGCTGCGCACCAGCAGCAGCTGCTCCTCCAGCGGCAGCTCCTGGAAGCAGGGCACGTTCTGCACGAAGCGCAGCGTCTTCACCAGCACGGCCGAGGCCGCCTTGCAAGCCACCTGCGGGCTCCGCAGGGCCACCCTGCGCCGCGACCCGCACGGGCAGCCCCGGGGCGCCGGCCCGGCCGCCGGCACCGCCCGCTCCTCCTGGCTGCGGAGGATGCTGTAGAGGATGCTGCTGTGCCGCCGGCCCTCCGAGCAGCAGCGGCACGCCATGGCCCCGCGGGGCCGGGGTCCGGCCGGGGCCGGGCTGAGCCGGGGGAGGCTCGGCGGGGCTGTCCCGGCCTCCCGATGCCGCCGGCAGATGCGCTCCGCTCGCCTCTGCCCGGCTCCGAAACTTATTTATAGCGGCGGGCGTGTGTGCGTGTCTGGGGGTGTGTGTGTGCGTGTCTGTGTGTGTGCGTGTCTGGGGGTGTGTGTGTGCGTGTCTGTGTGTGTGCGTGTCTGGGGGTGTGTGTGTGCCTGTCTGGGGGTGTGTGTGTGCGTGTCTGTGTGTGTGTGCGTGTCTGGGTGTGTGTGTGCGCGTCTGGATGTGTGTGTGTGCAGCCGCAGGCGCTGTGCCGGCCGCTGAAAGGGGCAGACACTCTTTACTGGCTGGAAAAGAGGCGGGGGGAAGGAGGGGAGATGGAAAACATAACCAAACCCTGTTCCTCCTTCCCTGCTATACCCAGAGGGAGCCGCCTCTGCCCTCAGCCTGCGGCGCGATCCGGTGTGAAAAATGCGTGTATTTTATGATTGGCTTTTCGTAAATATTAAAATGAATATTATATGTATTGTGTGAGAAAGTGATGCTGTATTAATTCTCTTAAGTAGTGTGTTAAATATAGTTTTAGGTTATAAAAAATGTTACAATAGAAACTATGCTATGCAGGATACTTTTTTTAAAGAAAGGACTCGCAGGGAGATAGCAGCCACAGGACACCTAAATCTTTCAGAGAAAGAGAATTTATTGCCCTCTTATCAGAAGAAACGAACTTCTTCCTGCCTCGAAGGTGCTGTTAGGATTCGGAGGAAGAAGTTGACGATGACCAGACAAAATCCTGTGTTTGAAGGGAATTTATGCATCATGTATGAAGTGTGTGAATATGCAGAGGTTATTATTTTTAAGGGTTAATCCTCTGTTAACATGTGTCCTTTTTCGGGCTTGTGCTGCCTAGAAAAGGTACCCGGACGTCCATAACTCTTTGTCTCTATTGTCTCATATTGTCCTAATCCAAACTGTCCACATTTTTATTACTCTAATTGTATTATTATTTTTATAGCCATTGTATTACTATTAAACTTTTAAAATTTTAAAAACAAGCGATTGGCGTTTACCACATCCAGCGAATCGCAGCCTCCTCGCCCAGAGCGGGCCCGCGGGATGTCCCTTCCCGGCCCCTCTTCCCGAGTCCCATCCCGGCTGGGGTTATGCCGGGACGCTTCGAACAGGGCAGGGCAGGGCAGGGAAGCTCCCGCCGCTCTCTCGTTTTGCCACTGTAGAGAGCAGCTCCCGCCCCTGCAGGACCCCACCGAGAAATGACAACCGGCCCTGCTGTCTTCACAAGCACACGAGGGATCTGGGGAGGAGAGAGAAAGGGTGAATTGGCGAAGAAAGAGCGCTGAATTGGGCCAGATTATTAAATTCCCACCGGAGGGGAAAAAGGTGACACCACTAATGACATCGAGGACTTTTGTCAATGCCTGCCCTAAGGAGTGATGCCTTGTGTGCCAAATGAACTCCACAGTGCTGCCGTGCGGGAGGCATAATCGGGCATGTCCCTGCCCAAATGGGTGCACTGTGAGGGCTGCAAACCAGGCTCAGTCAGGGTGCCCTGGGGATGGTGCCGCTGCAGCACCCACTGGGATCCCCCATGGAACCACTCCCATTAACAATTCCCTTGCTCTGCCTGTCAACACCTCGCCCACCGTTCTGATGCCATGTTGTTCCATCCATTTTCACTATCCCTTCAGGGTCAGCTTCATGAATCTCTCTTAGATATTTACTTTCCTGTGACTCATGTCCTCCAAGTGTCATATGAACTCCAGAGCAAGCCTTCCTTCCCTCCAGGCCTTGATGTTTGCACAGGAGGGACAGGGGAATCGTGATTGTCAAATACGGATTCTTGAATGAAAAGTAAACACCTTCTCAGCTGGGCTAAATAAAAGTGGGTGCAGCAGAGTGGAGTTAATAAACACTACAGAAAATAAAGTTACTTCTATCTGCTGCATGTGGGCTAAAACAGAAACATTTTCTGGTTCATGTGATCAGGAAGAACCTTGACAGAGAGTTAGAAAAAGTAGCCGGTTTTAAGCAAAATTCTATACCTTTTCCAGCAGTATCTGCTACCAAAAGAAGACTAAATCACCCTTGGAAAGCTGCTTTTTCTTTCCATAAAAGTATCTTTTTCTTTGTTGTTGTTTTTTTGGGTTTTGGGGTTTTTTGTTTTGGTTTTTTGGGTTTTTTGTTTGTTTGGTTTGGTTTTTTGGTGTTTTTTGTTTGGTTGGCTGGTTGTTTTTTGTTTTGTTTTGTTTTGTTTTTTTAAGCAAATACCATTGAGTACTTTGGATTTTGTAGAAACAAAACAATTTTGAGCAGGATCTTGGCAATTTCTTTTCCCTATTAAGTCAGTCCTACCCTATCAGCTTACACAGGTATAGAGTATTTTCCCTCTAAGTCTTTCTTCACAATTGGACCCAGAGGGGATATTCTTTACAAATGACTTGTGCTTTTTGGAAGACACTTTTTTATAAAGTTATATAGAACACTGATGGTCTACCTCTCTCAGATAAACCTTGTTCTACAAATGCAAGCTTTCCAAAACCTAGATTATCATACTTTTAGTTTTACCTGTGAAACACATTTTCCACAGACCCAAACATGAAAAAGCCCTTTATTGGCTTTGCAGTAGAAGAGAACTGCTACATTGCACCAATTAAGTGATGTCTAAAGTTTGCTGACAGGTCAGTGGTTTCACCAAACATTCTTTAAGAAAGAATAGATGCTAGATTTGCAAAACAAATGTACTAATACTAAATATTACCAAATTTTTAATTTGGATAGTATCACTGCTAATGACAAAACAGACATTTATTTGTCTAGAATATTTCTTTGCCATTCTAGGTTGTTTCCTGTTACAGTCATCAGTGTTTCCTCAGCATTACGATTTTAGATGGTTTCTTTCAGCCTTTTTAGTTTTTTTGGGAAGGGATTGCTCACTAACTTCAGAGGTAAATCTTGCCAATTTTTAGAAAAAGAGCATCACTAAGCTTTTAGTTGTCTTTAGTAGCATTTGTCCTATGAGGTACAGATTATTAGTCTGACCATGGAATCTAGATGTGTTTTTTATGAGTTTGTAACTTGGAAAATATCTCTGGGAAAGCATGGTGCAGCTGAGACCGGAATCATTGCCTTTGCAGCTTTGACCTTGGACTCCAACTGTGGGAATATTCTGCTTATTATGGGAGGATGCTGCTTACACAGGGCTATAGACATAGGAAATATTTGTAAATATAACTTCTATACCAAGTCTACAATAGATTTTTTTCAGTATGTAGCAATATTGGTTGCAGGTGTTTAATTTTTCAAGGTATTTCTTTTTCAAATAAGTCTCAAATGCAGATGCAATATGCCTGTTATATAATGATTTTGCTGACTCTTCATTTTCTAAACAAACTTATACAAAAAGACTTTGTCTTTGATAATTATAACAAAATGTGTACCTCACACTGTAACCAAACTTGGTTTACTATTCAGTGCCAGAAATCACATTGCTGTAGTTACAAGTGTACTTCCTTCTCTGACAAGTGCATGTAAACACTCATTTCTCTCATTCTAATTCTTAATGTACTCTGATATTCATGGAAGTTTATTTTATTCAGGGTAGATCATCTATTTCCAAGCTAAAACATTAGGAATGTTTTAATTTATTTATCCTATAAATATTTATTTGTGTTTTTCACGTTGGTATTTAGCAATTTGTACAGTCTCTATTTAAAAATCTGGGTTCTGTCTGTCCGTAGCATTCAAGCTAAATTAACAACAAAGCATTCTATTCACAAGCAAAACCAAAATCCCTACAGAAATCAAATTGTTTGATGGAAAATGCAGGAAAACCCTTTTAGAATAAAGGGAAAGTGCCTGGTTTCTGTTGGGAGATCTGGTGTTACACAGGCATTACCAAGCTCCTTGTGGTACATTCATGATTAGGATTACAAGCTTCCAGACAAAGGATTACTTGTTTGTATTGTTTGGGGCTTTTTTGGATTATTTTTGTTTTGAGTTGGTTTTGTGTGTGTGGGTTTGTGGTTACAGGGTTTTTTTAACTCAGACAAAGCCTTGGATATGGAGGTGATACAGTGCAGTCTTGGCAGCCTCACTCTCTCATGTTGCTGCTCAGTGTCTCCCTATCACTCATCTGGTAGCACATTTGGTTCTTGGCCAGAGGGCAAGACTTCAGTTTCAGAACAAGACCAAACAAGCATTTGTTTTTATGCCATCAGTGCTTCAGTGCACCATTAGCTTGAGAAAAGCTTTTTTCCAGTGTAGAATTTGATCCTGATGTCCTATAAATGCACACTATTCCTTTTAGTGTAAGTGCTGAAAAATAATATTTGATTTTAAGGTCAGATGTAAAGCAGACTCAATTTGGTGATTAGCATAAGAGAAGTTAACTTTTTTCTACAGTAAAACAAAGTTTAATGTGGAATATTGTTATAAGGATATGATAAGCAATATGTCTTTTGTAAAAATAAATGCTTTATTAAAACAAGGTTTTGGAGTTTAAGTATATTGCTGCTTTTCATTCTTTTCTCATTGTGAATATCCATTAGTTAGACTGATCATCACTCACATTTCCCCTATTTTTTCCTGGGGTGTTTTTTGAAATAAGTGGGGATTAAGGGAAAAGTAGTTTTACCTATGTGCTGTACCACACACTCCTGATGGCACCACTGTCCCCTTCCTGGAGGGACAATGGATTCCTGAGGAGGAGCATCCTGGGAGCTTGGGCCAAAGATGGTTGAGGTGGACCCAGGTCCAGAGAGATGATGACCAGAATTTCCAGAACTTTTTCAGCTTCCCAAAGACTGTGATTTGACAGTGTTTCTGTATCCCACCACCAGCTCACCTAGCAGTATGTGCTTGTTCTGGAGCAGGATGAGCATGTGGTGATATTTTTATGGAATTAGCCAGAGTATATAAAAAGGAGTTTATCCCAGGTTTAGACCTTCCTGCC